GGCTTATGGAGGATAAGAAGCCAAGCGAACCAGTAGAGGAGGCCGCATGAGATGATGACTGTGTGAAAATGGTCCGGTCAGAGCAAAGCGGTAAACAAGGAGGCAAACCTATAATGGCTGTCGCGAGCCAGACGCCGACGATGCCGAGTAACGCTTTCACCTTGAGATATTTATAGGATCAGCGCATCTTCCTAGACGAGTACACGATGATGTCCAACGCACCTTATTGCTCTGAATCCATGATTCGATCTGGGCTGCCTCGGCTCGCCGCCGAAACATGCTGCTCACACCTTGCAAGTCATCTGCACGAAATGTTATCTCAGCAAGCTGGCATTACTGCGCTAAGGGAGATTCACTCACTCGCCCGCGCCGCAATCGTCTCAATCCTCTCCCCTCTGTCTATCAGCCTTCCTATGACCCTGCCCAAAAGTCCCCTCACGGCCTCCACATTCCGACTGATGAACGCCTCGCTCGTATTGCTGTTCTCCACTTCCCTTGGAAACTCTGGAGTTTCCGAAGCGAGTGTCTCGTTGCTGTCGGTGCATCGGTCCGCGCGCGACGAGCGGCAGTCGCATCGCTCAATGTCTCGACAGTTGCTGGCTCGCGGACTGTACAAGGTCGAGTTGGACGCAATGGTCGATGCGACGCTCTGCCGTCGCGGGCTAAGGATGTCGCCGATAAGTGGAGTCTGCACGCGGAAAGCCTTTCAGCATCTGCGCGGCGGTGGCTCTGCAACGTACGCTCTCATCCAGCAGAATCACGGGCCGCATCGCACTGGCTCTCCGCGCGCGGTCGTCCTCGTCGAGGACGCGCGTGTACTTCCACACGCCGTCCACGAAGCGGTATTGGCCCTTGATGCCGTTCTGGCCGTTCGGGGCCATTTCGTTGGCAGCAGGTTGAAGTGGCCGGGGAGGCCGTCGATGATGGAGAGTCGATGCGGGTTCACGGCCGGGTGTCGTTTGGCGGTAGGGGCCGTGAGGTTCTTCTTCAATCCATAAATAGCGCGCTACCTGATCGCGTCCTTACTCCAGCAATGCCATAATTACTACGCATGAGTTCGCTTGCAGCGGCTGGCACCTCCGAATAACTTGATTGGGGTTACCTCGTACGGCGCACCCGGGCGAAGGGCGAGGCGACGAACAAAAGAGATTTACGACTGTCGCGTACCCTCCCCCCATCGTCCAACGGACCCATCCACCTTCACCAGTCCAGCAATGTCGCGTCCCTCGTCCTCGGGCTCCACTGCGCCCGCCATGGTCCCGGCCATCGCGTCCAAGTACAAGTTTACGAGGGAGATTGGGATGGGCGCGTACGGTGTCGTATGGTGAGTTCGCCGGATTACATTTGCGACGGATACGCGTCAGGCCAAAGAAAAACGAGAGCTCGGCCGAGGGGTCGTCGGGGGGACGCGTTCTGACCGATTTTTTGTTCTGACAGGGCCGCCGTCAACAACGAGACTGGGGAGCACGTCGCGATTAAGAAGGTCGGCGCGAAAAACTTCCAAGAGGAGATCTTGGCCAAGCGTGCCCTCCGCGAGCTGAAGCTCCTCCGCCACCTCAATGGCCACGATAACGTGAGTTTACTCGGAGTGTCCCCCACGCGAGGCTGCGTGTTAACAAAGCCATAACGAAACAGGTCGCCAGCTTCGTCGACTGCGACATCAACGACCCGCGCAACTTCAACGAGATCTACCTCGTCGAGGGCCTGATGGAGACCGACCTGAGCCACATCATTAAGTCGAAGCAGGCCCTAACGGAGCAGCACTACCAATACTTCATCTACCAGATCCTCCGCGGGCTTAAATGGATGCACTCGGCCGACGTCCTTCACCGTGACCTTAAGCCCGGAAACCTGCTCATCAACTCGGACTGCGAGCTCAAGATTTGCGATTTCGGGCTCGCGAGGGGCGCGCAGCACTCGTTTGTTCAGACTGAGTATGTGGCCACGAGGTATTACAGGGCCGCGGAGGTGATCCTGAGCCCGAAGCACTACTCGAAGGCTCGTGAGTAGAATAAAGTCTTTTGTAATGAGCGGACCCCTTCGCTAACGGCGAACTTCACGAACAGTGGATATCTGGTCGGTGGGCTGCATTTACGGCGAGCTGATGCTCGGGAAGATCCTCTTCGTCGGAAAGGATTGTGCGTTTTAGTCAAATTTTACGCAACTGGATCTAATGTCACATTTGTAGACATCGACCAGCTGCAGAAAATCTTCGAGTTTTCGGGCACGCCCTCGGACCCGACGCTGACGCACTACTGCAGCGCGAGGGTGCTCAAATACCTCAAATCTTGGCCTGAGCGCAAGAAGGCCAACCTTCAGAAGTTCTTCCCTAAGGGCTCGAAGGAGGGGCTCGACCTCCTTGACAAGCTCCTCACGTTTGACCCCAGGAACCGCATCACGGCCGCCGAGGCCCTCCGGCATCCGTGGCTGTCCGCGTACCACCAGTCAAACGACGAGCCCGACTGCCCGAGCGTCTTCGACAGCTCGTTCGAGAGCGTTCACAAGATACCGGACGTCAAGAGTACGTCCATACTTTCTCTTCGGCTGTCGTTGTATCTCAGCTATAACATGATATCGTTCGCAGAGCTCATCATCGCTGAGGTGAACGACTTCAAGGCCTCCATGAAGGGTGGCGCTTCCAAGCGCGTGGCCGGGAAGCCCGAGAAGTACGTCCGCAATTGTCTTTATTCTTGCTTACCCTTGCTGACCGAATGACACGCAATCGTCTTCACGCCAGGTCGCTTGACATCGCGCGCGACGGTCCCAAGCGATACAGCGCCGAGGAGGAGGAGGGCATCGACGCCGCCATGTCCCTTGAGGATGAGCTGGAGCGTGAGTACCAGACCGGGCGGATGAAGGGACTCGACATTAGGGATTAAGCGTGGAGTCGCATTTGTCCTTTTGTTTGCCTTTCCCACGCTACCTTTCTCTTTTGCCTCGTTTGTTTTTCAGTTCCGCGTTATATTGGCCTCATCCATCAGGGCGGGTAGCCCCGATTATTACGATTGCTATGAGTCGTTCAGTCGACGTCCTCAAAAACCGTGCTGGACGGAGTGCCTAAACACGAAAGGCGAATGAGAACGTATAATAAACGTTTATATCAAACTGATGTGGCCCTCAAAACCGTCAGGCAATTGAACCATGTGCATTGTAGTTGTCAATTCCGTGCACTGTCCTTTTTGATGGGCGGCTAAGTTTTTAACGCAGGGTTAGCTGAACTGGTGAGTTTCTCGTCTAGCTGGCTTGGAACGTATCGAGTGTCCGCGAGTGCGCAATCGAATTTGGTGTCAACTGATTGTGAGCTTAAGGTCGGGTTTGTCAGCCAATGCATGCGCAGATTGTTTGTTGCGGTCTCTTAGGTTCCATACTTATGGTCCAGCGCGGACACGTTATCAACGCCCGGTTAGCTCAATTGGTAGAGCGTGCGCCTTTTAAGCGCAAGGTCGTGGGTTCGATCCCCACATTGGGCGACGAATTTTGGTTTCTTGGACTTTTTTTCTGCGTTTTTG